CTCTCTGGTCTCTCCCTCTGGTCTCTCCCTCTGGTCTCTCTCTCTGGTCTCTCTCTGGTCTCTCTCTGGTCTCTCTCTGGTCTCTCTCTGGTCTCTCTCTCGCTCTGGTCTCTCTCTCGCTCTGGTCGGTTTCTCTCTGGTCTCTCCCTCTGGTCTCTCTCTCTGGTCTCGCTCTGGTCTCGCTCTGGTCTCTCTCTGGTCTCTCTCTGGTCTCTCTCTCTGGTCTCTCTCTCTGGTCTCTCTCTCTGGTCTCTCTCTGGTCTCTCCCTCTGGTCTCTCTCTCTGGTCTCTCTCTGGTCTCTCTCTGGTCTCTCTCTCGCTCTGGTCTCTCTCTCGCTCTGGTCGGTTTCTCTCTCTCCGGTCGGTCTCTCTCTCTTGAACCAAACTCTCTGGTCTTATTGGACGAGCACGTGTCAGCAGAATGATTGACAGCTGGGAGGACCAATAGTCTTGATGATCAACCCGGGAGTAGAAAATCCTCCTTTATACCTTTAAATATGTCAGAAATTGTGCGTTATTTGAATATTTCACATTTAAAGACGTAATTTTATTGAAAAGACCGAGACTGAAAGCACTGGACCCGGGACCTCCTCTAGCTCTGGACCCGGGACCTCCTCTAGCTCTGGATCCGGGACCTCCTCTAGCTCTGGACCCGGACCTCCTCTAGCTCTGGACCCGGACCTCCTCTAGATCTGGACCCGTTTGGGCTTCTTTAAGCTAGCAGGTCCGTCTATGTACAAGATCAATTCATTCATTTAATTTTGTCCCTTTGTTTTATGAGTTATTATGGTCAGCCTCAGTCCTGGGTCTACAGCAGCCTCAGTCCTGGGTCTACAGCAGTCTCAGTCCTGGGTCTACAGCAGTCTCAGTCCTGGGTCTACAGCAGCCTCAGTCCTGGGTCTACAGCCTCAGTCCTGGGTCTACAGCCTCAGTCCTGGGTCTACAGCCTCAGTCCTGGGTCTACAGCCTCAGTCCTGGGTCTACAGCCTCAGTCCTGGGTCTACAGCCTCAGTCCTGGGTCTACAGCCTCAGTCCTGGGTCTACAGCCTCCGTCCTGGGTCTACAGCCTCAGTCCTGGGTCTACAGCCTCAGTCCTGGGTCTACAGCCTCAGTCCTGGGTCTACAGTCCTGGGTCTACAGCCTCAGTCCTGGGTCTACAGCCTCAGTCCTGGGTCTACAGCCTCAGTCCTGGGTCTACAGCCTCAGTCCTGGGTCTACAGCCTCAGTCCTGGGTCTACAGCCTCAGTCCTGGGTCTACAGTCCTGGGTCTACAGCCTCAGTCCTGGGTCTACAGCCTCAGTCCTGGGTCTACAGCCTCAGTCCTGGGTCTACAGCCTCAGTCCTGGGTCTACAGCCTCAGTCCTGGGTCTACAGCCTCAGTCCTGGGTCTACAGTCCTGGCCAGAGTGAGGTTGGAGGGTAATGATTAACTTGGAACTTCCTAAATGTCACGTTATCGCAGAAATGAAAACATGTGGTTTTAAAGGAGACGTTTGTAACTTCAGGAGGTTATTATTATTATAGCACCTTTAATAAAACAAAGAAACATGAAAGTCTAACAGCTTTACGTATGAAACCATAAATAAAACAAATGTAAACAATAAAAGCAAAGACCAGAGAGTGACCAGAGAGAGAGACCAGAGAGAGAGACCAGAGAGAGACCAGAGAGAGAGACCAGAGAGAGGCCAGAGAGAGACCAGAGAGAGACCAGAGAGAGACCAGAGAGAGAGACCAGAGAGAGAGACCAGAGAGAGAGACCAGAGAGAGAGACCAGAGAGAGACCAGAGAGAGACTAGAGAGAGACCAGAGAGAGACCAGAGAGAGACCAGAGAGAGACCAGAGAGAGAGACCAGAGAGAGACCAGAGAGAGACTAGAGAGAGACTAGAGAGAGACCAGAGAGAGACCAGAGAGAGACCAGAGAGAGACCAGAGAGAGACCAGAGAGAGACCAGAGAGAGAGACCAGAGAGAGAGACCAGAGAGAGACCAGAGAGAGAGACCAGAGAGAGACTAGAGAGAGAGACCAGAGAGAGACCAGAGAGAGAGACCAGAGAGAGACTAGAGAGAGAGACCAGAGAGAGACCAGAGAGAGAGACCAGAGAGAGACCAGAGAGAGACCAGAGAGAGACCAGAGAGAGAGACCAGAGAGAGAGACCAGAGAGAGAGACCAGAGAGAGACCAGAGAGAGAGACCAGAGAGAGACCAGAGAGAGAGACCAGAGAGAGAGACCAGAGAGAGAGACCAGAGAGAGAGACCAGAGAGAGACCAGAGAGAGAGATCAGAGAGAGACTAGAGAGAGAGACCAGAGAGAGAGACCAGAGAGAGAGACCAGAGAGAGAGACCAGAGAGAGAGACCAGAGAGAGAGACCAGAGAGAGAGACCAGAGAGAGAGACCAGAGAGAGACCAGAAAGAGACCAGAGAGAGACCAGAGAGAGACCAGAGAGAGAGACCAGAGAGAGAGACCAGAGAGAGAGACCAGAGAGAGACCAGAGAGAGACCAGAGAGAGAGACTAGAGAGAGACCAGAGAGAGAGACCAGAGAGAGAGACCAGAGAGAGAGACCAGAGAGAGACCAGAAAGAGACCAGAGAGAGACCCCATGGGGACTTCTGGTCTCACTACATATTTATGAATGAGTGCATTTTACTACTTTCTCGCTTTTCACTCTCAGTAAAAACAACACATTTGTCTCTGTTCTTGTCGAGAGGAACCAAAGCTCAAGCACGACTTTTAAAACAGTCCGAACGAAATGGACGAATCCGTTTGTTTTGTTCTCAGTAATAAATGTGCCTCTAAAAATCAGTTTTCATATTTCTCTATAAAAAGGCTAATTATGAACCAAATACACAGGTGCAGGCCATGGACCGTATACAGATGGACGACGCTAACATGCTAGCTCAAACAGGGAAATGCTAACGGCTCCTCATTAGCTTCAGTGAGCTAGCCTAGCGGTTAGCATCGTCCATCTGTATACAGTCTGGTGTGGTCTAAAAGAGAAAGTATACCTAAAATGTTGTGTTCTCTCAGTTTCTATTATTGTTTCTTTGATTTCAGTCCCTCTCTCATGAGTCACTATTTGACTCTCTGGGCTGAGAGTCCTGGGTCTACGCAGCCTCGGTCCTGGGTCTACGGCCTCAGTCCTGGGTCTACGGCCTCAGTCCCGGGTCTACGGCCTCAGTCCTGGGTCTAACAGCCTCAATCCTGGGTCTACAGCCTCAGTCCCGGGTCTTACAGCCTCAGTCCTGGGTCTAACAGCCTCAATCCTGGGTCTACAGCCTCAGTCCTGGGTCTAACAGCCTCAATCCTGGGTCTACAGCCTCAGTCCTGGGTCTACAGCCTCAATCCTGGGTCTACAGCCTCAGTCCTGGGTCTAACAGCCTCAATCCTGGGTCTACAGCCTCAGTCCTGGGTCTACAGCCTCAGTCCTGGGTCTACAGCCTCAATCCTGGGTCTACAGCCTCAGTCCTGGGTCTACAGCCTCAGTCCTGGCTCTTACAGCCTCAGTCCTGGGTCTACAGCCTCAGTCCTGGGTCTACAGCCTCAGTCCTGGGTCTAAAGCCTCAGTCCTGGGTCTACAGCCTCGGTCCTGGATCTACAGCCTCAGTCCTGGGTCTACAGCCTCAGTCCTGGGTCTACAGCCTCAGTCCTGGATCTACAGCCTCAATCCTGGGTCTACAGCCTCAGTCCTGGGTCTACAGCCTCAGTCCTGGGTCTACAGCCTCAGTCCTGGGTCTACAGCCTCAGTCCTGGGTCTACAGCCTCAGTCCTGGGTCTACAGCCTCAGTCCTGGGTCTACAGCCTCAGTCCTGGGTCTACAGTCTCAGTCCTGGCTCTTACAGCCTCAGTCCTGGGTCTACAGCCTCAGTCCTGGGTCTACAGCCTCAGTCCCGCTGTCTATGAACCGATGTCACTACATAGTTGTTATTACTGCATTTCCTGTGTTGTAACCGTTTGATTCTCTGATCTGTTGTTAATGAATCTCCAACTTTGTAAAGTCCTCCTGCTTTGACAGACTGCAGCTGTGATTTAGGAGGAGACACAATTGACCAGAAAGTTTTAAGTAATCTCTAAACTTCCAATTCCAGTTTTCCTCCAGTCACTGTATGTGGTGGACTCTTAATAATTACCATCGCGGCTTCCACACTTCCCCCAGAATCCTCCCAAAGCTCCACGAGTCCTGGGATTAAGCAACATCTCCGGAGCTGACCCCCCCTGGCCCCCCCCTGGCCCCATTGTACACAGGCCGCCCCCCCGCGGAGTTAAAGTGAACCCGGTTGAAGCGCTCCAGCCCTGACCACACATTACACTGACCACACCGCGCACTGTCTCTTTAAGAGCCAAGATGGAGGCTTCCGTTTCTGCCTGTGTCTTTCCCCTCACACACACACACACACACACACACACAGACACACACACACACACAGCTCGGTTGCATTGGAGTGGCTGCCGATTCTGCTTCGGTTCTATCTGCGCAATGAGGTCACCGATCCCCCCCAGTACCGTTCTGTGCCAAAACGCGTTCCAATTACGCACGCTCCAAAGTCACACACAACACAACACACAACACAACACACACACACACTGCGTTAAACAGGAATGCATGAGTCTGAATGGCACGCAGACAGAGCAGCAGAACACACACGTAAACACACAGACACACGCACAGACACACGCACAGACGAAGCACTTACTTTCTTGCTGCTGTGCATGTTCGCAGCGGGGGGTGGTCCAAAGCGAGGCGCGTGAGTGTCGCGGATCTAACCTTAAAAAACAACAGGGGCTGGTTCCCCCCCACCTCTACACGACCCCAGCGGATTCACACAGATCAGTTCATCTCCTCGCACAGGCTCGGGACTGTGTCGGTGTCTCCTGGGCCAAACCGAACCGAGCGCTCTCTCTGTGTCTTGTTTTTTTCGTGCTGTTTCTGTGGCTGTGTGATCAGGGCTGGGCTGGGCTGGGCTGTTCCGTTCCTCCTCCGCCTCTCCCTGTGCTGACCCCACCCTATGTCTCCACCCTCACATCGGCATCCGCGCAGTCTATGCAGCGAGGAGAGCGCGCTCCTGCAGGGCGTGGCTCTGGGAGAGGCCGTGTGCCAGGCCACCGGGCGGAGGTGGGCTCATGCGGGCTAAAGTGTGGGGTGAGGTGGGGTTTTTCTTTTGGCGTTGCGCCCGTGTCACCTTCCTGACGTCATCTGAGGGCTAATTGAGGACATGGTGGGGGAGTGGGGGGGTGGGGGAGAGAGGGGGTACAGAGATGCGGACAGAACATCAGGGATATGGGGATAGAGTCTGAGGACAGAAGGTAAACCTCATTCATAGAAGACCGTGTTGGAGGGAGACAGAAGTAAAGACTGTAGGTATTAAGAAAATAGATTGATCCAAACTGTGCTTTTTAAAATAAATCCATTGTAAATATTGGCTCTATTCCCAAACCTGTTTACAGATGGACAATGCTAACCCCCAGGGCTCAATGAAGCCCAATAGGCCTCTCGCCCCCGGTCTCTCAGTGTCTCGCCCCCGGCCTCTCAGTCTCAGTCTCTCGCCCCCGGTCTCTCGCTCCCCAGTACAGAAATTGGGGAGTAACCTGGGGAAACTCCAGTTTGCCTTAGCAACCGTCTTAGCAACACATCTGCCCCATGGATCTATAATAATAACTGGATAGAGTATTACTAGCTTATAGCTGTCCCACCCATGGCCACAGGGGGCGCTGTGGTACTGCAGACTAAACTCACGAGGGCTACACAGAAAAAAGTTCCATAGAACTCAATGTAAATTAAAACAGCTCGACCTCAGCGAACAGAGAACCTGACAGAGAACCTGACAGAGAACCTACAGAGAACCTACAGAGAACCTACAGAGAACCTACAGAGAACCTGACAGAGAACCTACAGAGAACCTACAGAGAACCTACAGAGAACCTACAGAGAACCTACAGCTTTCATGAAGATCAGATTTTGTGAGGAGTTTAGTGTCCTTTGTCGTCCTGAACTTTTTTCTTATTAAATCCTTCTGTTTTTTAAATCTACACTTTACTGCCACGAACTCTGCTTCTTTCCTTCCCGCTCTGGCTCCGCTCTGATCAGCTCTGATTGGTCAGAGCGCGGCCGAGCCCCTCTGTGCACGTGCATGAGAGCCACATGTGTATTTGGTGCAAAGCATCATGGGAGCTCAGCCACTGCACAGAACCGGGAGGACCAGACGATGCCCAAATATGGGCGAGTTCTGCTAATCTCCCGGTCTTCGTGAAGTCCCATGAACTACTGAGCACAAGCCGTTCATTTGAACAGGACGCCATCTTGGATCACCGGGGCTGGGTCTGCCCTTGTTGCGGTGCAAAGCTAACGCCGCGGAAGAAATTCCCATATAAGGAAATCAGCTCCAGCTAGCTCATGTTGACAGTGGCTTCTTTAGCATTAAGGCTAACACTGTAGCTAACACTCGTGATGCAAAACACTGCGATTAGAAGAAACAGTAATTTAGAAAGTAAACAGCTACAAGAAAACTGTTCTATAACATATCTTCATTAGAAAATATATGGAGGAAAAAAACCTGTAACATGTTTCTGGTTCCTCTGACCAGAGACATGTATCAGCACAAAGTCAGGTACCCCAGCTTTAATATCCACACATTATATATAAATATATATCTATTAAACTTGACTGGAGTCTTGGTGCCGTGTTCTTTCTTGTATAATTACAGAAATAACAAATGGGGAGCGGCTGCAGTGATCACAGACGTGTTTGGAGAGAGACGCCCAAAGAGACAGGTGTGGCCAGATTCATTTCACAACAAAAATGCAGTGTGTGACATCACAACCAGGTCAGAGAAACCAAAAGTATGAAAATCTGTCCTTCAGCGTGTGGCCCTCTCTCTTTAACACCGTCAGAGGTGGGACCGGGGTCCGCCACAAATACGACAGCAGGGGTGTCCAAACTTTGTGTTCAGAGGACCACATTATTCAGTCAGCGTCACCTCCAACATTCACACACACCAGACTAATGTGGGGGAAGTGTCTTGCCTAAGGACACAACCACAGACCCACTGTGGCTCCTGGTGTTCCCAGAGGTCTCCCATCACCGCACTAACCAGGCCCTGCCCTGCTTTGCAGAGGTCTGACAGGATCTGGCAGAACCAGAGAGAGACCAGAGACCAGAGAGAGACCAGAGAGAGAGACCAGAGAGAGACCAGAGAGAGAGACCAGAGAGAGACCAGAGAGAGACCAGAGAGAGACTAAGAGAGAGACCAGAGAGAGAGACCAGAGAGAGACCAGAGAGAGACCAGAGAGAGACCAGAGAGAGACCAGAGAGAGACCAGAGAGAGACCAGAGAGAGACCAGAGAGAGACCAGAGAGAGAGACCAGAGAGAGACTAAGAGAGAGACCAGAGAGAGACCAGAGAGAGTCCAGAGAGAGACCAGAGAGAGGCCCGAGAGAGACCAGAGAGAGACCAGAGAGAGACCAAGAGAGACCCAGAGAGGGAGAGACCAGAGAGAGACCAGAGAGAGGCCAGAGAGAGACCAGAGAGACCAGAGAGAGACCAGAGAGAGACTAAGAGAGAGACCAGAGAGAGACCAGAGAGAGACCAGAAAGAGACTAAGAGAGACCAGAGAGGGAGAGACCAGAGAGACCAGAGAGACCAGAGAGAGACCAGAGAGACCAGGTAAGGCTGATTCAAAGATGTGACAGAGGCCAAAAACAAATGTGAAAACGAGTGATAAAAGCTGTTTCTATGGTTTGAAAATTAGGTACCGGAGCTTTAATTAGAACAAATGTGAATGTGCTTCTAATGCTTAATGCTCTTTTTTTACTTTTCTGTCTGAAACATGTGAAAACAAAGAAACAAACTGCAGAGATATTTTAGTTCAGTTTTGGTGGTTTTAAAAGTTAGGCACCAGCCTTCGAGTGTGTATGGTCAGTTTGTTTACTTAACTTTATCAATATATTTTATTAAAAGATATTTTCTTTTTTTTAACATATAGAGTTGTCCTACACTTCTTTATGCTAAAGTTAGAGATTTTTTTTTTTTTAAGTTATTTTTCATTTATCTTGTGTGCTCCTTTTTCCTACTGTTCTGTAACTGTAGATGCAACACTGGAATTTCACTGTTAGACTGTTGCCACAATTATCAATAATAAGGAGAACACGAACAGGTCAAGGAAGGAGGTTATTATTAATTCGGACGCAGCCGAGGAGACGACAAGGCACCAGCGGGACTGCATTTCGGACCAGACCACGCGCTTCACCGGAAGCGGAAGATGAAAAGGTAAACAAACCTTCTAGTGCTCCGTGTAATCACGTTATTTTGTTTTAAATTTAAATCTAATAATAAGATTTAATAGAAATGTCACGTGGTTGTTGTTTTGGCGCCAAACAACGAGGGTTGGTTTGTGTAAAGCTACGAACAGAGAAAGGAACTTGTAAATCTTGGCATTTCGTCCCGGGCTTAGAGAAATACGCCAATACATAAGCAGTTTCTTTATTTAAATGTTTGATTAGGAATTCGTATCAGGTTAATGTTTGGTTTAGAAACAGGTGATATGGTTCACGTTTGGGATTGAGGTGCACACTGGCGCGGGTGAAATGCCAAGATTCGGGAGAGTCCATTTGTATCGCTATCTACGTTTTTAAATGACCTTTAGTTCAATAATTAGACAGTTATGTTTCATTAAGTAACGATAAGTCAGCATTATAGAACCTGCAGTAAATTACCCTGGGTCTAAAGCCTCGGTCCTGGGTCTACAGCCTCAGTCCTGGGTCTACAGCCTCAGTCCTGGGTCTATACAGCCTCAGTCCTGGGTCTACAGCCTCAGTCCTGGGTCTATACAGCCTCAGTCCTGGGTCTACAGCCTCAGTCCTGGGTCTACAGCCTCAGTCCTGGGTCTACAGCTTCAGTCCTGGGTCTACAGCCTCAGTCCTGGGTCTACAGCCTCAGTCCTGGGTCTACAGCCTCAGTCCTGGGTCTACAGCCTCGGTCCTGGGTCTACAGCCTCAGTCCTGGGTCTACAGCTTCAGTCCTGGGTCTACAGCCTCAGTCCTGGGTCTACAGCCTCAGTCCTGGGTCTACAGCCTCAGTCCTGGGTCTACAGCCTCAGTCCTGGGTCTACAGCCTCAGTCCTGGGTCTACAGCCTCAGTCCTGGGTCTACAGCCTCGGTCCTGGGTCTACAGCCTCGGTCCTGGGTCTACAGCCTCGGTCCTGGGTCTACAGCCTCGGTCCTGGGTCTACAGCCTCGGTCCTGGGTCTACAGCCTCGGTCCTGGGTCTACAGCCTCGGTCCTGGGTCTACAGCCTCGGTCCTGGGTCTGGGTCTACAGCCTCGGTCCTGGGTCTGGGTCTACAGCCTCAGTCCTGGGTCTACAGCCTCAGTCCTGGGTCTGGGTCTACAGCCTCGGTCCTGGGTCTGGGTCTACAGCCTCGGTCCTGGGTCTGGGTCTACAGCCTCGGTCCTGGGTCTACAGCCTCGGTCCTGGGTCTGGGTCTACAGCCTCGGTCCTGGGTCTGGGTCCACAGCCTCGGTCCTGGGTCTGGGTCCACAGCCTCGGTCCTGGGTCTGGGTCTACAGCCTCGGTCCTGGGTCTACAGCCTCGGTCCTGGGTCTGGGTCTACAGCCTCGGTCCTGGGTCTGGGTCCACAGCCTCGGTCCTGGGTCTGGGTCCACAGCCTCGGTCCTGGGTCTTACCTGCTGACAGAGGACACCTTCCTGCTGTTTCTGCTGAGCCCTGATGAGTGATGAGCTGCAGCTGCTGCGGTGTGGACAGATGTGAACGCAGGGAAATGCCAGTGTTGCCATACACAGTCCAGTCTTCACAGCAGTGGTCTGACACACACACACACAGACACACACACAGACACACACAGTCCAGTCTTCACAGCAGTGGTCTGACACACAGACACACACACACACACACACACACACAGACACACACACAGTCCAGTCTTCACAGCAGTGGTCTGACACACACACACACAGACACACACACAGTCCAGTCTTCACAGCAGTGGTCTGACACACACACACACAGACACACACACAGTCCAGTCTTCACAGCAGTGGTCTGACACACACACAGACACACACACACAGACACACACACAGTCCAGTCTTCACAGCAGTGGTCTGACACAAACAGTGACAGAAAAATAAGAGTGGCTGAGTGTTACACAGAGGTTATAGACAGAGATTAAGTTGGCTGGATGACACAGAATGTATGATTTTGATTGCAATGGCTAATCGTGTGTTAGCAAAACAGAGGGTCACAGAGAGCTGTAAAATCATAATGTGTTCTCTCTCTCTCTCTCGCTTTCTCTGGTATCTCTTTCCCTCTTGCTTTCTCTCTCTGGTCTCTCTCTGGTCTCTCTCTCTGGTCTCTCTCTCTCTCTGGTCTCTCTCTCTCTCTGGTCTCTCACCCTGGTCTCTCTCTCTGGTCTCTCTCTCTCTGGTCTCTCTCTCTCTGGTCTCTCTCTCTCTGGTCTCTCTCTCTCTGGTCTCTCTCTCTCTCTGGTCTCTCTCTCTCTGGTCTCTCACCCTGGTCTCTCTCTCCCTGGTCTCTTTGTCTCTGGTCTCTCACCTTGGTCTCTTTCTCTCTGGTCTCTCTCTCTCTCTCTCTCTCTGGTCTCTCTCTCTTCCTGGTCTCTCTCTCTCTCTCTCTCTCTGGTCTCTCTTCCTGGTCTCTCTCTCTCTCTCTCTCTCTGGTCTCTCTTCCTGGTCTCTCTCTCAGAGTGACTAGAGAGCAGTGTGATGATGGCCCCCTGCTGGAGGAGCAGGAAACTGAAGGACAGAGACAGCTCCACTCTCTGCTGCTGCAACAACTGCAGACTACAGTGGACATACAGCAGTAAGACACACACAGACACAGACACGCACACAAAGACAAACACACACAGAGAGAGACACGCACACACACCACACAGACACGCACACACACACACACATACAAAGACAAACACACACACACACACACACAGACACACACATACAAAGACAAACACACACAGAGAGAGACAAACACACACAGAGAGAGACACGCACACACAGAGACACACACACATACATACAGAGAACACGCTCATACACACATTAGACAGAGACACACTCACACCAGACTCTAATGTGTCTTGCCTAAGGACACAACCGCAGTTTGTATTGTTATTTAAATCTGGCGCCCCCTGCAGGTGAGAGACAGACTTCTCTTATACTTTTCAAATCATAAATGATGCTTGTTCTTCTTCTGCTGCTGCAGGTGTGTGTCGAAGCGTAAGTGTTTTGCGCCCGCCGCCCTCTACTGTCCGTTTGGGGAACAGGCGGCAGGAGTGAGGTCTCTCTCTCAGTTCCAGACGCTTCAGGACGGAGACAAACAGCTGAGCGCCCTGCGAGACCTGGGACTCGCTCCAGACGAGATCTCCCTCTGGACCAGCCGAGACTCCCCCCACACGGACAAGGTACCAGAGACTAGAACCAGAGTGGTTCTCTCTCTCAGTCTCGTGCTCTCGTCAGTCTCGCGGTGGTGTCTCTCTCTCAGTCTCGCTATCTCGTCAGTCTCGCGGGGTGGTCGAGTCTCTCTCTCAGTCTCGCTCTCTCGTCAGTCTCGCTCTCTCTCAGTCTCGCGGGGTGGTGGTGTCTCTCTCTCAGTCTCGCTCTCTCGTCAGTCTCACGGGGGTCTCTCTCTCAGTCTCGCGGGTGGTGGTGTCTCTCTCTCAGTCTCGCTCTCTCACAGTCTCGCGGGTGATGGTGTCTCTCTCTCAGTCTCCCTCTCTCTCAGTCTCGCGGGTGGTGGTGTCTCTCTCTCAGTCTTGCTCTCTCTCAGTCTCGCGGGTGGTCGAGTCTCTCTCTCAGTCTCGCTCTCTCGTCAGTCTTGCGGGGGGTCTCTCTCTCAGTCTCACTCTCTCTGTCTCACGGGGTGGTGGTATCTCTCTCTCAGTCTCGCTCTCTCTCAGTCTTGCTCTCTCTCGTCAGTCTCGCGGGTGGTGGTGTCTCTCTCTCTCAGTCTCGCTCTCTCTCAGTCTCGCTCTCTCTCAGTCTCGTTCTCTCGTCAGTCTCGCTCTCTCGTCAGTCTTGCGGGGGGTCTCTCTCTCAGTCTCGCGGGTGGTGGTGTCTCTCTCTCAGTCTCGCTCTCTCTCAGTCTCGCGGGGTGGTGGCGGAGCCCGGAGCCACAGAGCAGCGGCTGCAGCAGATCCAGGAGAAGATGGCGTCTCACACTGAGCTGCTGATGCGGCCGCAGCGGTTCAGCTTCAGCCGCGGTCTCAGCAGGAGAGAGATGGAGGTGGAACAGTCTCTGTACCATGGGTCCCAACAACCAGGGTACCTGTGTGCCCTCTACCACAGAGACCATAAAGGTACTAATCACAGGGACCATAGAGACCAGAGACCACAGGGACCATATTTACCACAGGGAACACAAAGACCATAAAAACCATAAATGTACTAACCTTAGAGGTCGCTCTGGTCTCTCCCTGGTCCCTCCTCGTCTCTCTCTGGTCTCTCCCTGGTCTCTCTCTGGTCTCTCCCTGGTCTCTCTCTGGTCTCTCCCTGGTCTCTCTCTGGTCTCTCTCTGGTCTCTCTCTCTGGCCTCTCCCTGGTCTCTCCCTGGTCTCTCTCTGGTCTCTCCCTGGTCTCTCCCTGGTCTCTCCCTGGTCTCTCCCTGGTCTCTCTCTCTGGTCTCTCTCTGGTCTCTCTCTGGTCTCTCTCCCTGGTCTCTCCCTGGTCTCTCTCCCTGGTCTCTCCCTGGTCTCTCCCTGGTCTCTCCCTGGTCTCTCCCTGGTCTCTCCCTGGTCTCTCTCTGGTCTCTCCCTGGTCTCTCCCTGGTCTCTCCCTGGTCTCTCCCTGGTCTCTCCCTGGTCTCTCTCTGGTCTCTCTCCCTGGTCTCTCCCTGGTCTCTCTCTGGTCTCTCCCTGGTCTCTCCCTGGTCTCTCTCTGAGGTTGTTAAAGGCGTACACTCCTCTGATTGAGAATCGTTTCTCTTTGTTCAGACGCCGAACACCAGGTGGCGACTGCGAGCCGCACCATCGACTCCGTCTACAGAGAAGTTTTAGCCGAAGAAACCACAAAACTCTCAAAACCAAAAAAACAAAAACAGAAACTTAAAATTGTCCCAGAACCAACTGAGCTCGACCAATCACAAACACCGGACACTCACCACCAGGCACCAAGCGGCCAATCAGAGGAGAGCAGGCCACAGGAGCCGCTGCGATTGGCTGAGGAGACAGAGATCGATTTGAAGCAGCCAATCAGCAGCCTGCGAGCGCAGTCACATGGTGCGCTCACGGTCACAGGTCTCGTTCCGGTCGTTTCAGACGAAGACATCGCAGCGAATTGTGAGTCGGACGAAAACATCCGCAGCATTCCCAGATTCAGGAACTATGAGCCCGGAAAACCATCAAAGGTAAAATACTGGT